TCATATTTTTAAATTAATAATTATATATATATATATATATGTGTGTGTGTGTGTGTGTATGTGTGTGTGTGTGTGTGTTAAATAAAAAAAAACAATTATATATATATATATATATATATATAGAGAGAGAGAGAGAGAATTCAAGAGAGAGAGGAAAAAAAGGAAGAAACTGATACATATATATATATATATATTATATGAACACAACAATATATATATATATATATATATATATATATATATATATGATACTTCTTGAGGTCCAATATTCCGCAAAAACTGACTTTATTTTTATTCATTTTAAAATTCTCAATTCCTAACCCTTCTGAAATTTCCCATTAGTTTTCAATAATGATGATCATCAGCTTCGTTTGCACGGGTTTCTAGCCGATCTTTTAAAAAGCAACAGGACTATGCACGCAATTCTTTTATAATGCAACACCATTCACCTAGGCGGCGAAAAGAAAACGTCGGCTGCACGACCCCAACCCTGGCAGAGGGTATAAAACCTATTCATATAAACGCCACTTTCTAGGTGCTTACTTGCACAACATGGTACACACCCAACTAATATCTACCTCAAGTGTAAACTGGACCTATGCCCACATTTCTCATTTCAGTCTTTATCGGGGCCTCTGTCTCCAATTTTTTGACTAAAGTTTGAACCAGCCATGCCTATGTTTTTAAAACTTTTACAGCTATTCTGAGCCTTGTTGCTGATCTGCAAAGCTAGTGCCACTTTATTGCTATCGATCAACCGCTGAACTTTCTCCCATCGCAACAGATATGGTTTCACTTTTAACCTTCCTCCTGGATTTGAACGTGTCTGCGACAAGATCAATTCAGACGATAACTCGTATATTCAATCCAGATCTGAAGATGGCCGGTTGCCTGTACGATTCCAGAAGTTACCCGATTCCTATCATTCCCTGTCTCTACAACAACCAGATCAACTTATTCTACCGATTCCGAAAGTATGTAACGTCTTCTGTCAGGCTTTTGTCTTTACAAGAGTCAGATTAGACCAAAAAGGGAACATTGCTACCATACTTCTAAATCCACACATTCCAGCCTTGATAGCGTTCAATATTTTTTTTTTTTTGCGCTATTGTATTACTCCAAGCTGCCGTCTTTTTTAAACAGATGCAACATCACATTACGATCTCTAATCTATCGCTATTTCCAAGGCAAATGTTCGAATGGGTTTTAACTCTTTCGTTCCACCAGTTGAAATCATTATAACCAGCAATCAACATGCTACGTCCACGGGGGTAAATCACCCACATTTCCTCCGTACTCCATTCGTAAGACGAAACTCCATTGGCAATCCCTTTCCACACGGTTCGGCAATGTCTTATTGTCCCCATATCCCCAATATCCAACCCTCAGTACCGAGCTATGGTGTCTGCGAAAGTCAATTTCATCGACATTGATTTTTTTCCTAAACTATATTTTAACGAAAGGGGTTGCCTCCTATAAATCTATAGGGAGATCAATAAAATTGCCGTCAAGGTTGCTGAATTTTCCACTGTAAAGTGGCTTCTTTTACCTGAATGTATAATATTAATTCTTGAAAAACCTCTTTTTGCCTCGGAAATTGGTTTGGTTTAGTTTGTTTTACAGCATATCAACCTCAATGGCTTATTTAATGCCAACAAAATTCTTATTGTTGGTAATATTTTGTTTTGTCAAAAATCGATTTCTGATAATAATGTATTGCTGGTAATATTTTTTTCCAAAAATATATTGCTTTTCAAAGACATATTGTTAGTAATATTCTTTTTTTCAAAAATGTATTGCTGATAATAATTTTTTTACAAAGTATTTCTGGTATTAAAACCTATTTTTACACTTTCATAATGTTTTGACACCAGTTTCGGGGTTGCCTATTTGCCCATAGCTGGGATCCTAACAGGTGCTACCACCCCGGTTCAGGGTAGACCTGGGAACACCAGCAATTAAGAGGCGGTTCCACGCTCCTCAAAACCTCCTGATCAGAGGCCTTGCTGTTGGACGTAGTTTATCGTCTTGTACAGGACGCGGATGTAGTTTATCGTCTTACCCAGAACGCGAATGTAGTTTATCGTCTTACCCAGGACGCGGATGTAGTTTATCGTCATACCCAGGACGCGGATGTAGTTTATCATCTTACCCAGGACGTGCATGTAGTTTATCGTCATTATCAGGACGCGCCTCGGAAGAGCTGATAATAGTTTTCGCTTTTTGTACACTTTGAACAATTGCAGGTTTATGAAAATTTTTCGGGACATTGTCTACGTAATCACGAAAATTATTAGTGGGAATGTTGTGGTGAAAATTTTTACTGAAGCCATTCGGCACTTCTTTTGCAGCTTTTCAGGAAATAATTATTTCCGCAGTTCCAATTTATATTAACCTTTATTCGATCACCTGAACTTACATCCCCAACAGATTATGTGACTACAATGTGTAGACAGTCTAAAATTAGTAGTTTGTTTGCTCGGGTTGCTGCTAGCAACGGATTCTCTGAGCTCATAAAATTCCAAGAACAGGTTCGGGCGAGCCTTTGCGAACCGGCCGAATCCCGCCATTACCTGCTTCCTATAGTCTAATTTACAGTAATCAAACACAGGATTAATTACAACGTACCAAACCAGAACGAGATTTCTATTTTTCAGCGATATTCTCTTGCACGAGATATGGAACGTGACTTCCTGTTTTTCATTCCTTTCTTGTTCGTCCGCAAATCTTTGTTCTTTTCCTTACTTGCTTCCGGCCTGTTCTGTTTCCGCTCGAAGAATTGTAACCGCCTGATTGTTATTTGGAACTTTTTAATTTAGAAAATATTTCATTATCTACAGGAGCTCCTCTTTCGCTTACCGTTCTCCCCAATCCCATGCCACGGACGATCGAAGCTTAACACCAAATAAGCATGAACACGATATCGTTGATGAAATTACGTCAAAAGGAATCGATTTTTTAGATTATCATCGCAGAAAATTATCGATCCAAGAATGTTGATACGTTTCAAACATAAATAATAAGCTAACCAGAAGAATATAATAATGGACTCCCCCACCCCGTCGGTTTTGACGTATGAGGATCTGACAGCTTACTTGATTCAGTTATGAAAGTTTGAGCGATAATCTTAAGTGGCATTTAAGACCCGCTAGTGATTTACAAAGGAGGCCAAATATGAAGCAAATGTGAGGACTGTGAGATGAGATCACTCTTAGATTGGCTGACCTTTTAGATCTTGCTCTCGCTTCTTGAAGATGATTCAGACAAGCAGATTGAAAACTGCTGAGTCTACTAAAAGACGTTGATCTCCATTCTACCCACTTCAAGGCTAAGTGCTCAATGGCGAAGAATATATCGGCAGATAGATAGATAGATAGATAGATAGATAGATAGATAGATAGATAGATAGATAGATGTACTAGCTTAAAAGCCACCCTATCGGATGGCATTTAAGTTAGCTCCTGTGGGGCGCTCTTGATTGGCCCTTTGGCTTGTTCAAGTGTTTCAAAGTTCCTAATTCTTTGCATATTCTCAGCATTGATCTGGCAAGACAAGCTTTCTAACCATGGCACCACGTCGAAGTGCCCTAATTTTCTAAGCGTAGCATAGATGTGGCACAAGGCAGAAAGTACTGGGCACCCAGCGAGTGTCGAACTCACTAGATGCTCGTAACTGATCTTCCTTTACCGTTACAGCTCATCGAAAGGTCCTAAATGATTTTCTACCGAGCGTGTAAGCAACGATGAGGTCTTAGAGAGGTTGCAAACAAGGAGAAGGCTTTTACTTATCATCAGAAAGAGGCAGCTGAAATTTCTGGGACAGATAATGAGGAATCTGATACTCACGTGTCGAATAGCGGGAAAAGAAAGAGAAGGGAAAGCAGGGCGTTACATACCTGGTGTTATAAAATAAAATAAGACATATCTCGGCTGATCTGCAGGCAAATAAACTAACATACTCAAGAGCGAGAGCCGGATGTAAACGGGACAAGGCCCCGTCACAAATGACCATTATCTTCGTTTACGGCTGGTCCCGACGTACGAGTTCCGGTCGAAAAATAAAATTATATTTTAAACTGTTTCTATTTTTCGACCAATAAAAATGCTTCCCTCCTAATTATACTTGCGTCATTTTTAGAGCCTGTTAAGTCATAAAAAAATCCCATAAAAGGGGTCACACGGAAGTACAACAAGCAGTCAACAGGAGGCCAGGGAAGAGACCTGTCACGGCCAGTATGAGCGGTCAGCAGCAGTCAGCAGGAGGAGCGCCACGCCAACCAGTGAAAACTACTATGTGAGATCAACCCAGACCGGGAGCCGGCCTATGAACTATACCACAAGGTAGCTGTCCCAAACCCACACGTTCCTGTTGAAATAAATCACGTAAATCTATTTCTGCTGTTGTATTTCTTTCTTGCAACCATACGCTTGTCTATAATACTGGCAAGCTTGAGGAAGTGGATGACAAAACGTGGTCTGGGGGAGGAAGCAGGGAGAAGGAACTTGTTGAGAGCTGCAAAGGATAGAGGGGAGGTGGAGAGCCATGATCGTCTACGTCCTGAAAGGACACGGCACATAAAAAGAAAGAAGATGTGGCACAAGGCACAAAGTATGGGGGCCCCCAGTGTGGATCCTAACTTATTTAGCGAGACAAGCTTTCTAGCCATTATATCACGTCGAAGTGACTGGTGATTTACGTAGCTTAGACATTACATAAAACTGAAAGTGTGAGGCATCCAGTGAGGATGGAACAAGCTTGTTATCCATTACACCACGTCGAAGTAGCCAGCCTTTCTCGGTGTGACTTCTTGTGGGGTACAAAGAAGAGTGACGCGGTATGCGAGATCTCAGTCTTGACTTGTAAACCGTCTTTTTTCTTAAGGTCTCTTTTTAGAAACAGCTTACATAGAAGCATCATTTGTAAACATCTTTAAAAGACATCATGTGAGAATAAACGGAGCGTCGGAAGGAAGTGGGGAAAGATGGAGAACAGAGAAATAGTCAGAGTCCAGGGAGAAAGAAAGAAAGAAAGTAAGAAAGAAAGAAAGAAAGAAACAAAAAGAGACATAAACTTTGAAAAGATAGATAGATAGATAGATAGATAGATAGATAGATAGATAGATAGATAGATAGTGAACAGAATGAGATAGATAGATAGATAGATAGATAGATAGATAGAATGAAAGAAAGAAAATTGAATGAATTAGAAAGAAAATTGACAGAATGAAATAGATAGAAAGAAAGAAAATTGACAGAATGAGATATTAAGAAAAAAGAAAATTGACAGAATGATATAGACAAATAGAAAGAAAGAAACAAAATTGACAGAAAGAGATAGATAGAAAATAAGAAAATTGACAGAATGAGAAAGAAAGAAAGAAAGAAAGAAAGAAAATTGACAGAATGAGATAGATAGATAGATAGATAGAAAGAAAGTAAGAAAATTGACAGAATGAAATAGAAAGATAGAAAGAATGTGATAGAAAGAAAAAAGAAAATTGACAGAATGAGATAGATAGATAGATAGATAGATAGATAGATAGATAGATAGAAAATTGACAGAATGAGACAGAAAGAAAGAAAACTGACAGAATGCGATAGAAAAAAAGAAAAAGAAAATTGATAGAATGAGATAGAAAGAAAGAAAATTGTCAGAATGAGATAGATAGATAGATAGATAGATAGATAGATAGATAGATAGATAGATAGATAGATAGATGGGCAGGCGGATAAAAAACTTAGAAAAGAAAAACAGAAAGTCTGGCTAAGAATAAAAAAGAATACTTAAATAAAAGAAAGATTGTATTGAAAGAAAGAAAGAAAGAAAGAAAGAAAGAAAGAAAGAAAAGAAAGAAAGAGTGCATAATGTCGTGTAAGAGAGAAAAACTAAGACAACACAAAAAGAAAATCATTGAACTAGTAGAAAAAAGAAAGAAAGAAAGAAAGAAAGAAAGAAAGATAGAAAGAAAGAAAGAGAGAAAGAAAGCAAGATAGATTGACTGTTAAGGAATGAGAAAAATTAAGAAAACAAGAAGATTGAAATAAAAGAGAGAAATATCGAAAGAAAAAAGAATGCAATTGGGCAAGAAGGAAAAGTGACGGATAAAAAAAAAGCTGGAAAAAAGAAGGAAAGAAAGAAAAAAGAAAGAAAATAAATAAAATGAGCTTAGAAACAAAAGAATAAGAACATTTTTTAAAAAAAATGAACTCATATGAAGTAAAAAGAATGTATGAATGAAAATAATGAAAAATGAAATTAGAAAAGAGAAAGAAAGAAAGAAAGTGATAGAAAAAGTAATGAAAACAAAGAAGAAAAAACGAATAAACTATGGAGTAAAAGAAAGAAAGAAAGAAATAAAGAAAGAAAGAAAACCTAAGTTATTTTAAAAGAAAAAAAAAAGAAAAGAAAGAAAGAAAAGAAAGAAATAGGAAAAGGTATGAAGACAAAGAAGAAAGAAAACAAAACTATGGAGTAAAAAGAAAAAAAAAAAAAAAACAAAAGAAAGAAAGAAAGAAAGAAAGAAAGAAGAAAGAAAGAAAAAGAAAAGGAATGAAGAAAAAGAAAGAAAAAGAAAACATAAAAATGAATGAAAAGAAAGAAAGAAAGAAAGAAAAAGAAAGAAGAAAGAAAGAAAGAAAGAAAAAAAAAAATAGGAAAAGGTATGAGACAAAGAAGAAAGAAAAACCTAAGAAAACTATGGAGTAAAAAGAAAGAAAGAAAGAAAGAAAAAAGAAAAATAAAAAAGAAAAAAGAAAGAAAGAAAGAAAAGAAATAGGAAAAGGAACAAGACAAAGAAGAAAGAAAAACCGAAATTATGGAGTAAAAAGAAAGAAAAGAAAGAAATAAAAGAAAGAAAAAAAAAAAAAGAAAAGAAAAGAATAGGAAAAGGTAAGGAAGACAAAGAAGAAAGAAAACCTAAGAAACTAGGAGTCAAGAAAGAAAGAAAGAAAGAAAAGAAAGAAAGAAAGAAAAAAGAAAGAACAGGAAAAGGTGTATCAAAAAGAAAAGAAAACCCAAAAACTTAGGAAAAAAGAAAGAAAGAAAAAGAAAGAAAGAAAGAAATAAATAAAAAAGAAAAAAGAAACAAAAATAAAAAGGAACAAAGAAGAAAGAAAAGACAAGAAATTTAAAAAAGAAAGAAAGAAAGAAAGAAAAGAAAGAAAAAGAAAGAAAGAAAAAGAAAGAAAGAAAAAAGAACTCATATGAAGACAAAAAGAAAAAGTATGAATGAAGACAAAGAAAAAGAAAACAGAAGAAATTATGGAGTAAAAGAAAGAAAGAAAAGAAAGAAAAAGAAAGAAAGAAAGAAAGAAAAGAAAGAAAGAAAGAAAAGGAAAAGACAAAGAAGAAAGAAAACATAATGAAAACAAAGAAAGAAAGAAAAGAAAGAAAAAAAGAAAGAAAGAAAGAAAAGAAAGAAAGAAATAGGAAAAGGTGAAGACAAAGAAGAAAGAAAACCTAAAAATCTATGGAGTAAAGAAAAAAGAAAAAAGAAAGAAAGAAAGAATGAAAGAAAGAAAGAAAGAAAGAAAGAAATAGGAAAGGAATGAAGAAAAAAGAAGAAAAGAAAACATAAGAAATTATGGAGTAAAAAGAAAAAGAAAGAAAGAAAAAAAAAAAGAAAGAAAGAAAGAAAGAAAGAAAGAAAGAAAGAAAGAACAGGAAAAGGTATGAAGAAGACAAGAAGA